TGTGCTGAAGGCAAAACAAATCCTTTAGCCACAAACAATATTGAGGAAGGACAGTCGGATGGTAGTAATAGTGAGACGAGACAAATTTATTTAGCGAAAAACAAGCGGCGCTTTATTTGATAATTTTTGTCAACAATCATTATTATTGTTCCTATCGCTAAATTCCGGTTTAGCGTTAAACTTCTCGACCCACGGTCATTTTAATGTAGTAGGTATTTTCAAACTTTCTTCAGTTTTCTCCAGAACTGAGCTAATCGCATAAGCGGAAACGTCTCGTTTACTCATTACATAACGTCGGCAATTAATTCATTTTCTTCAGGGCGTGTCAGATTTTCTAGAATTACCTTAAATTTGGCAGGCGGGTATTGGGATGACATGTGAACAAAGCAGCCGGGAGAAAATGAAGCACTTAACCTTTAAATGCTGGTTTGCTGTGTCCCTTAATAATATTTTAAAGAGAAATGATAAATCCAACAAGTAACAACTGATTTGACTGTCATGATTTGTGACTAAGAACTGACTCGTTGACTAAGCCAGAATGCACCAGTTTTACAACAAGGTATGAACGCTTTGAAAGATTTTCGTTTTGTTTGACTGGCTTAAACTGAAGATGATTGTAGAATTTCCCTTCATACTGACCTACTGTGCCGCTATATTGATGAACACTTCAGGGCTCATTGAGAATTTCCTATTGCCGGATACTAGTTTTATTTCCCTGCACTCTTCATTTTCGGCGACGCTTTGTCTAAAATCTCCGACTGTTACCTGTTTATTTGACATGCAACTTTAAAGCATGGATGTTAAGTAAAAGTCCTTCTTAAAAAAGATCTTCAATTTTGTATCCCCAAACATTTAAACATTCCTAGTTTTCATCTCTCTTCACCACTCGACTAGCGTGTCTACCGTTGAATACCATGGGATGTCAAGGAACCTGTTTCCTTTTTTGTTAATGGCAAGCCTGTCTCTTGGCCTACATTGCTGCAAAATTTTCCCCAAGTTCAAAGAATAAATGCACATAACTTATCTAGTCGAAGGGAAATTTATATCTTGAAAGGAGTAAGGAGAATCTGAAATGTCGCTTCAATGTTTGGCTGAAATATTACTTCAATTCTTGGTTGTATCGTAATAGTAAATTCCTGTTTGTTTCTATCTCACCTCCATTTTAAAAAGTCCGATTCTAGAAAGGCTATAATTCTTTTTGACAACAAATGATGCAGTAATCGTATTTTACAATTACAGAAGTTTTCCTTTCTTTTTCCATTTGCTTTTTCATTGCGAGACAAATAAAACGTCGCTCAACTTGATCTGAAGAAGCCGACAGCGAAAGGTTTGCTGGACAAATAGTTTATTAACATTGGATCGGAATTCACTCAGCTGAAACATTGTTGTATCCGGCTTTGGAGTTCGATTGAATTAACAGTCAATGCAAAAGAGTGTTATTCCTTTTCTATCTCTAAATAAATGACTGATAACCTCTGCATGTTAAGTATCAATAAAAAAAAACAACGACGCATATCTAAATGACGCTTTTAGTACGTTTTTTGTCTTAGAAAGAAAGCTCTAGAGAGGAAGAAGCCATAGATGAAGTTAGATACTTAATCGGGTTAAATCAAAAGAGACGTCTGGCCTGATTTGTTAAAACTAAGGAACCTTTCATATATCATCTCTTACATAAAACATAAAATATCGTGGCTGATATCCACGATTCAAACATGATGTAGATTATTCGTGTGTTACTTGCATAGTCTCTTTGTCCGAAACAATAAGATGTGAGAGTGGATTTATCTCATACCAAACGGAAAAAAAAGAAAAACCAATTGTTTATTTTGGAGACGCTTAAATCTTATCCGATTTACTGCGCAACAATCCACATCTTATCTTCGTCGGTTGAATTTCTGGAGTTTCAGTTCGTATAGCTAAAAATAGCAGATGAAATGAACTTCATACAAAATAGCTAAATAGTTGGAATGACAGAGTGGTTAAAAGTTGCGAGGCTCTGTTGCGATGATAAGAAGGATGGATCCGTCGCAAGCGACTGATAATTAATTTAGTATCTTAAGTTTCTGATCCTAAACAGCAGAAAATCTGCAAATTCAAACCAACGTAAGTAGGAAACGGAATTAGACAATGAATTAACGCTAGGACCTCTTTTAATTAAGCCCACTGTTCTTACAGTTAGATATAAATATTTCAATTGCTCGTCAACGATTTTTCGTTATTGTCAATCGGTTTCCATCGCTGATGAAGGTTGAATAATCTCAAGCGGTGCAATGACGTAGTTTAATTCTCAGACAGTTCACCTGCTGTACCCAGCTCCCACGAGAAACAAAAGTAAACCAAATTATAGGGTTAAATTTAGACTTTAAAGGCTGCGTTATGCTGCTGAATAAAGGCTGAGCTAAGATTAGAATGAAGGGTTACGAACTTTGCAACAAAAATGACCACCCGTAAGGACTTTGCGTCAAGGAGAAGCCATAACTAAGTTAGCAATCAATAGGAGGGGACTGTTAGAGATAGATAACTTCAACAAGGACAAAGGATCCCTTGATCTTGGCTTACAATGCCAGTGTGATTCCAATCAAGTTAATCAGTTCGCGTTTAATGTCACGCTGTGTTTGTGGATTCGTTTAGTTCTACGAGTGACGCACAAACTATGAAAACAACGGTGACTAACTTCATTAATAGTACTCTTGCGAAATACCCATCTTTAACAAAATGGAATAATTTTTTTGCCGCATTCTAAATTGCTATGACAGATATGTCATGACACTTATGACACCTTCTAAAAGGAAATAAAAGATTGTTTTATGAAACATTTACAACTGGAAGGAAATACATACATACACTAATATTTCAACAGTTTAATTCTTCCTCAAATGGAAATCGAGAATACAACCTATTACCGCATTATTTATATCTGAACACAGCTGATATGCTCTTGATACAATGTATCAGCAGATTTTAGCCAGAGTCTACTTCAATGCCATTGACAATGTTAATGAAGTTTTTTCAGCGCATAATACAACAAACCGTTCTTTGTCATATGAACCCGTTAGGGGGGCCACGTGGAAATGTTTCAAACTTTATGAAGATCAGCTATCTCATGAATATGTGGCGGTGCCCCGCAGTGCCACAAGAGGTTTATATAAGATATTCATTTATAACTTTTCTTTGTAGCTTCACTGTTGACCTTTGTGAGGTATTATTTACCTTTCACGAGCTGATAAATTTTGTATTATATCAGTGTGGTAAAGAAATTGTTTCCAATAACTTGAGTAATCACAGTTAAGCCATGTTGAGAAATTCAATTCAATTATCAAAGTTGCGCAATTTCTGTTGTCCACCTACCCTCAGTTTAATGAGCAAATAAACTTCGCACCTTTCCATCGGTTATCCTGCTAGCTTTTAGCCAGTTTTCCTGAAGTATTGATATATATTTTACAATGCAATACATAACATTTTAAAATTATTTTTCCGCCTCGAGCAAACACCCTGCCCTTGTTTTGATTTTACTTCAGGTCGAAAAGTTTAACATAACTTCAAAATAAGATAAAATAACAACTTGCATTTATCCACCTATAAAAACGTCAGGACTTGCTATCCACGAATTGTTTCACTTGTACCTTGACAGGTTGTCTGAATTGTCATAGCAACAATGAGCAGTAAACCTGTTTTGTTTAGACTGAGGAATGTGCTAGAATGGTTGAGCCACAACCTTGACCCCAGATGATTAACTGACGTATCTAGTGTAGTTATTAGTAACATTTAGTAGATTAGTCAAAGCATTACAAAGGAAGGTCTAAACTTCACTACCTCAAAAGTAAGTTCTCTTCATTGCTCGGTAAAGTTGTTCTTGTTAGTGATCTTCTATGAATTTAGTTTACTTCTTGTGTTGCTGATATCAGTTTGTTGTTCTGCTCCATTGGTGCTCTGTGTCTCATTCTTTTCATGCTGTTTGAAAGAGACAAGTTTCATCCAAACCCTCTTCTTTCTCCTTAATGAAGCAAGAACTTGATTTGATATGGAAGAGTGGAAATTCAACGTCATCTTTGAACTTTTTTTCAGAGCTTGTACATATATTTTCTTTCTGACAAAGTAATTCAAATCTGTCATTTTCGTTATTAATAAGTAATTGTAAAGCGCTAAGATTTGTAACATTTCGATTTGTTCACAAAGCTCTCCATAGATCCTTCAAAACTCAAAAACCTGTAGAGCGATGAATGTAGCGAAACTTTTAACTGTTACTTTAATACGTTGAAGAATAAACTCGTTTGTTATCAGCTTATTCATTTCACTGAAAAGAATGTGATGATTTATGGATAATTCTAAATTGTCACGTTCAGAGCATGACCAGAAATTTCGGTCAAGAGCGTAGATTAGGTTACAATTTCACGTTAGCCGTGTAGATAAGTTACTCTAGAAATTTCTATTTTTATACCTAATCAATTAAACTAAGCGGAGACAATTTTTGTGGAAATTGTTTTACGCACAGTGACTGTGAACAATGATGAGCAAATTTCTCACCAATTCATCGTAATATATTCATTTGAAGTGGCTAAATTTAGAGGGCCACTGAGACCGAAATAGACCAGTTTGTTGTCTCACGCTTAGAAGTGTCTCTCACAGTTTACAATAGGTATTACTAGTAGTGCCTGAAGGACGGATGATCTGGCCACAAAAACTGCTCCTTTTCGGGTCGAATACTAAAATTTTAGAGTTCAAAATTTCGCTGCGAGACAACTACTGCAAAGGACTAAGGTATAGGAGAGCAAATTGGTAGTGTTTCTTGTTTTATGTTGAAGTCAGGGAATTCGTGCAGTCATTACAATTCGCGGTATTTTGGCTTTAATGGGGTCTTCTGCTTTTTAGCTGGAGGCCAGTCGTGGATATAAGAATGCTTAAAATTATTGTTGGTTCCCTATTCCACTTCAACTACTTTGTCTGGTGTACTGATTGCCTTAGTTCTTTAGCCGGCTTACGCGTTGTTGTTCTTATTTCAGCCGAGTTCAACCGAGATCAAGTCAACTCCGATGCCTCCAATGGGTTCCATAGCTCAGCGTTCACCAAAGTGTGCTCGGTGCCGAAATCACGGGGTGATATCCATACTCAAAGGACACAAACGGTTCTGTAAATGGCGAGATTGTGCATGCGCGGATTGCAATCTCATAGCTGAAAGACAAAGAGTAATGGCCGCACAAGTGGCGCTCAGAAGACAACAAGAGAGTGAGGAGGTTGGACATCTTTCCTACGGCACAGTACAGTTGTGTTTTAATCAAAATCTACAAAAGACACCAAGAATCATTCCACCCTCACCAACGTCCCCAAAGGATGCTCAACTGCCAAGAACCGCAAGTTTGTCTTCTCGATCAAGCTCGCCAAACATTGACGATACCAACAATGAGCTGGGGTCTCCCGCAAGCAGCGCAAACGATGGTGAGTTGAGTACAATTCTTTTTGCAAAATTTTCCTTCTACAATAAAACGAGCAAACATCATCCGATTCCAAGGTCGGGGTAGTCTTCCAGCTGATTTCATTACTTTTGAATTGATTACGCAACCGTCTGATTGGCTGCCAAAATTTACAAACCCATCGGATGATTTTACAGCAAAAATCGGCCCCTTTTTCTTATCTCGCTTCGTTACCGTTGCTAAACTAACCATAGCCTTTTGAGATATATGAAAAAACGTGCTGTTTAAATCACAGCTCAATTCTTCCCATGAAAGGGTAACCTCAGATTACGCCAACGGTATCAGTGCGTAGACCCAGCGTAGTGTTACAAAGTTTCACACATCGAACTTTTGAATGAAATGGACATGAACAAGACGAGGGTTTGTTTTTGGAGGATATCGTAACATGCACGCCTAGTTCATTCAGATTTTGTCATTGTTGTATAGATAACCTAAGAACTATGACATAAGAGGCGGTTAATTCATCGCAGGCGGTTTCAAGCGCGCTAGTATGGACAGAGTTTTATTGAGTTGCTAACTTATCTTGTTTGTCTGTATTTAACAAAGTTGCAGTCAGACGGTTGTTGAAAATTTTGCCCGCGATATACACGATCAACATTCTCTTTTCTAAATTTACCCCTGTGTTTCCTTTTAAAGAAAAAGAATACAGCACCTGGGTTATGTGAAGTAATTTGCTTCTGTTTAATCGTTTTTATGCTGGTCCTCGAGTCGTGGATCATCATTTCTGGTGATAAATTTTGGGAGGTTTTCAGTTCAGGGATACAGTTTTCGTCCATAATGACTGAGACACGGAATTTGACCAAAACCTGTATTATACTGTATTGAAATGACTCTGAACAAAGCAACACCCTAAATTATAACTTTCTTTAAAAAAAGGCGATGCATTGAAATGAAAGGCATCTAGGCTTTGTCCTTGTTACTGAATACCTGGCTTTGTTCTATCCATGCTAAATACTTTATTTTAAGAAATTTCCAAACAGTTCCGTGCTGGGAAAACATTCAGAACCTCTCTCTAAAAACTGCATATTCCTCGCGAATTATGTTACGGTATGACTTAATCTTGTTTGAAAGTTTGATGTTAAGACCTCAAGTAGCACAAAAATACTTAGTCGAGTAAAGTGTTGATGAAACCAGCAAATTTGAAGCTTGTATAATCCCCCCAATAAATTATGTCACTGTTTCTGCTTTAGAATTGCATGTTCGCCCAGAAAAGGAACACCTCTCGCTGATTTTCAATAACGAACTTGAAATTGCAACATAATTAGGTCTGATTTATTTGTGGCTGTGGTCTCTGGTTAGGTGCTAATGTGCGCTCGTTAGTCTGAGAGCAAGTTGAAGTGGCTTCTCCCAGCCAAATTGAGTGATTTAAAACTAAAGTGGATTTAATTAGGGCCAGCATAATTATGACATTATCAAAGAAACACTGCCGGCCCAAAAAGTATCATGTCTAAAAAATGCAACAAAATATTTGTAACATTCTGGAACGCGAACAATCTGGAAAGTCTCAGTGCGGTTATTCTGTAATAAAATCTGTATGTTTATTCTGGTCACTGGGAGTCAAACCAGTGTTTATAATGTCATCAGGATGTTTGTATTTGATTTATTTTACAGTTTGTTTATAATCAACGCAAGTGTTGTGTTTATTTCTGAGCGAGCTCAGACTCTTTGTCTATTTTTAGCGGACTGTGCCTTTATGAATAAAATTGGCACCAGCTTTCTTTGCCCTCGGGGCTGCAATTTACAACCCCCTCCCTTACAATAGTTGTTGATTAAATTTTTTTGGACTTCTTATCTTCAATGAAGATAGATATTTTCCTCATATTCCCATGAGGAACTGTACGAAATCGAGTCCATATTTGACTTTGCACATCAAGAGTTAAAACTGACTATATTTTGACATGCTCCTATTGTCTCATGAAGACGTTCAAAAGCACAAATTTAAAATAAAAACATTTTTTACTTTCCATTTCAGCTGGCAAGGAATTAGGTAAAAAGTAACAGCTTGAGCAATATTTTTACAGCTTTAACAATAGCACAGTGCAAATAATCATGATTCCGACACGTGTTGCAAAGTCTTTATTTCTGAACACGTGTTTTTTATTAACACTAGTAAAATTCGAACGCTGCTATGTAAAGAAACACAAGATTAGCCCGAGTTATGTGAACTGACATAATACACAGTTGAGGCTCTAAAGTGATTCAAAACTCCAGTGAAACCGATATTGGAGTATACAATTGGGCCATGTGGTTCATCTAAAACAGGAAAACAGTGCTCTACTGTTATAAGAAATTAATGCCACTACATGTCGATGCTTTTGTCCAGCCAATCAGGAAGCCAGGATTTTCTAAGGCACGGGTGGTTCATATCTCCCAGCTGTGATATTGTGTAAAGGCAACAACTAGTCAGAACGCGCTATGTTTATTGTAACCTTGCTTCCCTAGAGAGTAAAACCTGCCTGCTATGCTTAAAAGAAATCTTGGCTGATCGCCTTTACCTACTGACTTTGACTCATCACAGACACACTGTTTGAGCTCAACAGTCGGAACAACGAAAGCATTTTGCGTTCGGTGAGTTTGTTCACATTTGAGTAGCACTTCTCATCGTAAATTTTCAACGTCATCTGAATATACAACTCATTATAGAGTTCCATTGAGAGTTAACTATAATATGTCAAAATAAGCGACAAGTATTCAAACTGAATATCAACAAGTGGCATGGGAATCTTCTCTTAGTAATTCCTGTTTGTACGTGTTCTTAAGAAGTTGATGAATTCAAAGTTAGGTTTTATTAAAAAGATTTGAAACTTTGTCACTACATTACCAAATACCCTTAGTCTTGTAATCACGAGTTTGATTTGAAACCAGCTTGATAAATAGCGGTTGGTTGCCACATGATGAAAGGGTGAAATAAATTATTCCAGTGAGACAAAAAATGGAACTTTGTAGAGCTAAACTATGTTTGTGACATGTTCACAGTCACTGACTTCAGAGCTGGCTAGTTGCTGTAACAGTAAAAGTCACAGGTCATTTCCTGTTTGAACGATACTCTCTCTTTTATTACTAATATTCTATCTTAAGATTTTAAGCTATTCACTGATTGTCTTAAATTGATGAATCTTTTTTCAAGTAAGGGAAATATGTTGTGTGCATTTCTAGATGTCGAGCTAACGCGTTTGTTAACACAGTAGGGAAGAACATTGAATAATAAAACACCTATTTACTTGTAGCGGTTGCCCAGGTGACGTACCACTTTTATGTACTTGTTCTGTCGTGCGGAAAATGAAGCAGCCATTTATGTTTGGAGTGATAATCAACGACATTATGATAATACGCTACAAATAATGGGACGTTTGCGGCTAACTCTGTCTTTTTAGAGCGTATAGTGCAATTGTTATTCAAAAATAGTGATTTTGTGTTAGCAGTTACCTTTCAAAATTTACTATTCTAACCGGAATTTTCTTATAAATTTCATCATTTATTGCTCCAGCGGTTTGAGAGCATATTTATTTAAGTATGATTGAGTGGTATATAAACTGTGTTCAAGTAACTGAAAACTTTTGGTGCACTGTTATGTAAAAGTCCAATTAGATTTTTACTTAAAACACACAAAAGATATGCACAATTTTTATTCTCGCCCGAGTATTCTATATTAATTTGCTTCCCGCCAGCATATTTCACTTAAATGATTTTCTTATCACCACAAAATTTTCTGAGGATGATATTGAACCTGCCAATTTCATGTTCTTCTTTCGTGATTTTTTTTCGTTTAGCCTGCAATCACTGGACATTTTACATTTTCAGTTGTTAACAAGTTTCTTTTAAATAGTCTGAAAGCACCCCTCGGTGTAGTGTATCAATCTTAGCGGAAAAGGCCACAGTTTTTCATAGTTTGATGTGGCATGTCTTTTTATAAACGCCGTTAGTGGTCTTATACGATCTTTCCATTTCATAGGTGCTTTGGCACATTATTTCTTTGGAACAAGGAAGTTCTAGCCGGGAAGTTTCCCCAGCTGTGTGTACAAAAAAATTAAACAGCACCTTTCCCCACATAAGCACAGGTAATTTAGGGTTTTGCCAACTTTAAGTTGAAAGGAAAAATTATCCAGCCACTTCTTGGTTGTGCTGGCGAAGGATTTTCGTCTTTTCTTGACAGCAAAATTGAACAAAATTGAAGCGCTGTGAAGTTCAACATGAAAAAATTTGCGCCCCTCGAATATGAAATAATTGAACACTTTTTCCCGTGGTCAATGGAAATTGCTGTCTGCGTCAAGCTGGTAAAAAATTGACATTGATGACAGTGGAAAAACAACAAGGTCTTACATAGAAAAAAAGAAATGACCTCAAACTGTTAGCTGCTTGCATTTTAAGGCATTGCAAAAATAAATAATGATTACCAGGCGTTTGGCTTGCTTTTAAAAGATTTTTTGCGTGGTCATTTGCATAATTTAAATTATAAACGAAGTCATCACTTTTGAACGGATCACTTGCAGTCACGAACATAACTGAAGCAAGCTCCTCTAACCACCGACTGCACGAAACCAAAGCGAAACTTGTGGCTTAAGGTAATCTGAAGTAAGGGCTTTATACATCGCTGTTTCCATGATTTTCAGAAATCGATCAGTGACCTGTGTGAATTTCTTTTTTCTTTTTTTTTTTCATGATTTCCATTTTTTATCTGCATTGTTGATATCTAATCAGAGATTTACTGATGGATAAGAGAGCCAACAGATGAAGCTTGATATAAAAAGTTTATTTAAACGCTTAGCAACTCATTTCTTTGTTCTGACTTTTGCGTACAGCTTTCACTGCATTAAGACTTCTTTAATACTGAGGACATAAAACTGATTTCCCTACTCTATCGTTAGCGAAAGAGTATTTAGAACTCTTCTAGGTTCAGTGAACAGTCCGTTTGGTCTCCCCGAAAAGGTGCCGTGATTTTAAAAAAAATTTTTGATTTGTCTACAAAAAAAAATTGTTATGTGCGATCCCTCAGTAGCAGAGAACTGCGGTATAAACTCGCGCGGTGGTCAGACAGGTTAACAGTCCAACGAACATTTAGATAGTGTTTCTTCTCTCCCGTTTGGTTCATTCATTGAAATAAATCAAATCTTAGAGCGACGATGAGCAGATTTTATACGAATATGATTTTATAGCGGCCATTGTTATTAAAGTCAATGTTTTTACTTTTCAGAATTTCCAATGGATAACAACACTGAAGGTTTCTCCACGAGATGGAAACGTGAACGAGACGACGATGAAGATGAGCGGCGCCTGAGAATGTCACCAGAATCAAAAAGACAGAGACACGACAAGATATCTCTACAAAATGGTGAGAGCAAAGTCATGTCAAGCTCTGATCATTCCAGGTTCATGAACATCCTTACACGGCTCTTTCCAGAGCAAAAAAGAAACGTTCTGGAGTTAATTTTAAAGGGTTGTGGAGGTGACGTTATCCAGACAATAGAGACCGTTCTTCCAAGTCACGAGGAAGCCCTTGCTCGGGGCCAGTTACTTGCCACTGTACCCAGGGGTCTCTTTCCCGGGCCTCCCCCGCCATCTGGCTATTCAGCCTTCCCGCCCATGTCTCCCACTCTTTCTCACAATATTCCATTGAGCGCTGTAGAGTACCACGCAGCTTCCAAATGTGCGAGTGGCCAATGTCCCGGGTGTGTGTATTACCCAGGAGCCGGTCCTTTGCCAGTACTCAAGGATCCGACTAAGCGTCAGACCGCGGACGTACAGTCTAAGCTGATACCGTCCATCTCCGAGCACAACTCTTTGCCGATTTCAACTATGCCTGGTTTGACTAAAATTCCGCATCTTGAAGATACGCGGTATAGCCAAAGTATGCGGTCAGCAACTGCTGCATTAATAACCATGAGCTCGGCTGGAAGAGTGTTTCCTGGGGACCGACTACCACAAAGGAATGATCGTAGCCCTCCGAACCATTCTCCCCGCGCCTCTCCCAAAAGTGAGGCTGACGAAAAGCCCTAAAATCAATGATTTTATTTCAGAGGATGAGAAATTAAAATAACGTGAATATATTCGTAATAGTTAATTAAAAATGAGCCAGTAAAACTGGAACAAATAGAGTAGATATTTCTGTTTGTAAGAATTGAGTTTGAACTTTGTACCTACTAATGAGTGATGGATTGGTGAATGATAACAGAATGATAAAAGAGCTTCTCACTCGGTAGTTTATAAAACGAAAATTGTCCTAGTAGAGATTATTATTAGTGTTGATCTGAGTCATACGAGCCAGGCTACGTGGATTAATTGAGAAGTTGTAAATATGTACATGGGGAGAGCTACTACTGGCTGCTGAAAGTTCTACAGCTTTTTTATCATGTTTTCTAAGCTATTTTGTTAGTTCATACAACAAAGGAATAATCTTAGAAATAGTCTGGTATAGTTGTAGAAAAATAGGCAAGTTATTCAATAATTATCAGTTAGAATGTATTAATGATGAGAAATTCTCGCTAACGAGGGCTTCAAGTCATCCTAAGCACAGTCAATGATGGATAATCAGTGAGGTGCTACAGGCAGAGCTATAGAAAAGTAGTAGTTTTTTTGTAATGTACATATACAACGATGTGGGATGGTTTATTTCATTTTCCCATTCTTTTAATTATTCAATCTTTTAATATTTGTTAAAATAAACTTGTTCCAAAGCCTTTTCCCAGAGAAAGCAAAGTTGTATAAAGCAATAAGGTAATTGAAACCAAATGTAAGCTTATATCATAAAACTATTTTCGTACCAACTTAGAATAGTCAGAAATTAATAACGTAGGATACATGTGCTGCACCTTAAGCAGCAGCGCCGGTAGTTAGAATGACTAGTTAAATATGATGCATCGGCTTACTGTTGTTTAGGTAGTCAATTAATGTTGTTTTTCTATAGCTTCAGTCAACGCTATCGTGGAGAGCAGGGCTCAGTTATAGCAAGTTGACTTTAAACTAAGGTTTTTCTAATTTGTCCAGTTTTGTGAAAGTTTTAACTTTGCTCGTAAATCTTATATTCTTCTCTAATAGGAAAACGTAATGATAATTCGCAAATCGTTTAATCTCCTCTTTAGAAGGAAGGATTAGTTTGTTCGTCTGTGATAAAGATCGTAATGCAATACAAACAAGCACACTGATGTTGACGTCTGCTGTTTGGCGATGAATGCTTGAAACTTTCAGATCATTTCGCTAAATTTTTCAGTTTAAAATGTGTATCATAACCTCGGCCAAATAGGATGTTATTAATGTTCTTATCACGGTAGATGTAATACCTTAGGTATTTAACACTTGGGAACAAACCACAGCCTTCCAAACTGATACACAGTGAGAAAATTATAAGAGATAAATAGCAGTAGGTTCAGTTTAATCTTTATCTTTGATCAACTTGAAAAAAGCCTGTTCGCTGGAAGTGTAATGTTCCAACTGTTTTAGTGGAGATATGTTGGTGTCAACTTCGCCAGACAATTCTGACTGATTCAGTCGAGGTTGAAGCTGATTGACTCGATATCTCAACTTTTAGAACAGCATGAACACAGACAACTTTTATCTGTCAGATGCCTAAGAGCCAGTGGGCTGCAAGAAAAGACCAGATACTATGACATTAAACTAAACTGAATGTCTACAGCTCACAGACATAATTGTATTACAAAACTCTATCCTGAAACAATTAGTACTTGTCTAGAAATGAGCAGCCGAATAGTATTTGTGGACCTCTTGTATTTGAATAACAATACCTAATGTTAAATTTTTCCTCTCAAATCATCCAATAAATATATTACTTCCCTTTCAATTCGAGTCCTTTACTTAGTTCCACGCGTGGATTCCTCGTTTCTTACTCGACGCTGCGGCACCAAATATGTAAGCCGTCGTGATTCATATTGAGTGTTGGCTGAGTGAATAAGGTTCTTCTAGATTCTTTCGAAGTCTGTGCCGGTTTTTCAAGGATTAAACAGAAGGGCTTGAAGAAACTTACACAAGGTGTCCTAGTTAATTGTGGATCCCGTGTTTTTGCCAGAGCGTGATGCTGTTCGATTAAGTCAACTTGTAGCTCAAATTGTTCATGTTGACCATTGAACGGAAATTAAACAAAGTATAACTGACAGCTTTTGAATAAGAACTAAGTGAAGTTCAATTTTCATTGAAACCCAAGCAGTGAGAAGCAAAGGCGGGCTCTCTATAAATTCAAACAAAGCGACTAGCGCAGACAAAAGCCACTCATTCATTATGCTGACCACAAAGTCTCCGGCTGAAAGCTGTCGTATTTTTTTTGAATGAAAATGTATTTTGAATAGAAAAGCAATACCCAGAGGAAGCGCTATTTACATTCAAATTGAAGGAAAGCCTACAGCAAACACTGAATGACAAGAAAATGAACCAAACTAAGTCTGGAAAGTTTTTCATGTTTTATGTGCATACATTCGTAAAAATGTCTGTCTGTTGAAACGTTGAGACTGCCGTAACCAAGACATTAAATGCAAGATGTCATTAGTTTCAAAAGAAAAAAAGATGAAAGAATAACCTTCTCAGGTCGTTTACAAATTACCATGAAAATGGAGGTGTTCTGACTAACACGGTCTGCTGGCTAATAAAAAGGTTCAAACCGATGTTGTGAGAAGATGGCGCTTAATCCTGCATCAGCCAATGAGAGCTCGAATCAAACTTAACCCAAACAATAGAACTCATTAAGAACAGAAATACCGTAGGTGATATATCAACTGTTTGACGGTAATTAATTGGAAAAGCGTAAATTGCAAAACTAACAATTTCGTCCAGAACTGTGGATGTCGCAGAGTGTGTCGAAAACGAAAACCGTACTGTATCAACCAACAATGTCTGAAGATGCTCGAGGCGATGACAGTGTACCTCGGTATCCTCGCTGTGCAAGATGTCGGAATCATGGCGTAGAATCAATTTTGAAAGGACATAAGCGATTCTGTCAATGGAAAGACTGCTCCTGTTCAAAATGCAGCTTAATAATTGAGCGACAGCGTCTGATGGCGGCGCAAGTGGCGCTAAAACGGGAGGAGGACGAGGCAACACCGCCAGCGCCCACGGTGGTAGGCCAGTTTCGGAACACTGCTGTCAGCGTAGACCCCGGCTGTGTAATGTACAGGTCAGAAGCGACGGGTTCGAATGAGGCATTACCGAGTATCATATGTTCAGCAACTGTACAGTTCGATGCAAACAATAACACAGCTTTGAGTGATGTTGATCCAGCCATAACTGAGGAGGCGAGAATCACCAAACACTCTTCGCTTTCATCGGCGCCAGGTGAGGAAAAAATCGGTTACACTTTTTTTTTATATACAAAATGCGTTCGCTCATTTAAAAAAAGAGAACTTCGAATCGCTGTAAAGTTGTTTAGCTTCGTGTATATCACAACCGCTGAGAAGATACAAGACAATATTTAGAAGACAAGAAAGTATTCCTTATGTGGGTGACCTTGACCATTATTTTGATAAAACTGTTTGATTGGTCAGGAGAATTCGACGTTTTACGCTGAATAAAAGCAAAACATTCGCCTTCTGATAAGGACTTAGAGAAAACCATACCAAATAAACTTTTGATCAACAGAAAAACTCCATGGTAATTATTATAATTGCATCTTTTGGAATAGAGGTCTGTACTGTATTTCCCTACGGTTGGTTTGGTAGTTACGAGTGCTTTTTTTTTCTTTACTCTCAGTGGCCATTCATATCGAAAATTCCTGGCATCGGTACAAGTTTAGTTTGCTTTCCTTCCCTGAGCCAATTTAAAAATATTTTTCGGTGTCACGTTTGTCAAAAGCATATCTTATGCACTCTCTTTTATGAGCCGAATGCAATTAAATAACAGATAAACGATTTCCGGTCGATTGATAAGAGCACAAAATTGAAAACTATCACTACCTTCGAGAGTAAAAGCTTGTCAAAAAATTTCACGAAGATTTGAGACAATTTGAGTTCCAGTGGAAGGTAAATAAACATATTTCGATTTTAATTAGGAACAATTTTACAAGTTTCTTCTTAAGTTGTCGAATTTTACAAGACAGTGTAAATGTCGGGCGGGAGAAAAGATTGATAACAGACATCACTTTGCAGCTGTCCGGACCAAATATTAGAGTCTTTTAATGAAAAAGCTCGCCCAAACCCTGGATCAAAGCCCCAAGATTAATTACGGAAACAGAGACAACATCTTCTTCTGTCTTCTTTTTCTTCTTTGAACTGTTTTCCCAGATTTCAGCTATCACTTCCGGTTTGTCGATGAATGTTTGTATCTCATTCCTAACTGAACGCCTTCAATTCCCCCAGTCTTCAGAAATAGTTTATCACGCATTTGCACGGAGAAAACTGTATGCTCGTGGTGCGGCCATTTCTTTCCTTCATTAATTTTGTTTCTAGCGAGAATAGTAGATGATATAAAATCCTTTTTTTTTCGGTTGTAGGCCTAAAGCGTAAGTTCTCGGAAATGGAATCCTCGTATCCCTCCCCCCCTGAGGCAGGAGATGACAGTGTATTTTATGACAGTGATGACACAAACGGCGAAACAAATGATTACATCCGGGAATACAAAGAGCCAGCCAATCACCCTACAGAACGAGCTTTGACTCATACGGATGACAGCACCAATGAGAATCTGAGGAGTCCTGGAAACCAGAATCAAAGCTATCAAGGAAGACTGCATCCGCTAGAGCTCCTTACCAGACTCTTCCCAACTCAGAAGCGGAGTGTGCTGGAGCTCATTTGGAAAGGTTGTCATGGAGACGTATTGAGAGCAATAGAATGTGTACTTCCGAGTCATGAAAAAGCAATGGCTTCTCTTAACTCACCTGAAAATCCTGTGATGCACTACACTGCAGGAATGCATCCAGGCTTTATTACTCGCCAAACCCGACCTCCTTACCAAGGCCCTGTGGGACCTGCACCCGCACGCTATCATGTCTATGGTACGGCACCAGGATTCTCATACCCCATGGTCGAGTATCTACATCATCAAAAGCGCAGCCTGGGACAAAACTGTACAGTCAATGACAATGAGCTCGCATATAGTATGGTTCAGGGTAGTGAACAAACCAATATTGTGGGAAAAGTTTGTCCGGAATGTTCAACTAAGTGTCAGCCGAGCAGTAACTTTTGCAGTTCGTGTGGCAAGTGTTTTAAAGAGACATAGTTACTAAAAATTGTTTGAATTTAAGAAAATTTTCCAAATGACGGTGTATCTGCACACAGAGGCAAATATTACTTGTATTGAAATTTAGCTTGATGTACCACGACTAGCTTAAGGACAAAGCTTAATTCTTTGGTTCTAATTCACTAATAAAACGTTTTGACGCCTGTGAGAAAACCTGAAGAGTGTCCCCGCGAAGTCGGCAAGACAGGGGGGGAGTTCTCTGCGTTGTCATGCGTGAATTTTTCCCTCGGCCCCTTAATGGAGGAGCCATGCAACTTAAGTGAGTTTTTGTTACTTGTGTTGATTAAAAGATCATTATATTTATCTATCTATTTGGTGTCAATAAGAGTCACTGAGAAAATTCTTAAAAGACCTGTTTGCCACTCAAAAAATATCAATTTTTGACAACTATCCGACATATTTTAAGTTTTGCTCCACTGTTGTCCAATCGCAATCCACAACACAACACTTAAGTGAAAGGACTTGGCTTGTGGCTTCCTATATTTTTTAAGTGTTATGTCGTGACTTACCTCAAATACAAGAGAAAAAATAAATAAACTGTAACATTTAAAACTTAAAAATGGCCCAGATGAAACAGAGAAATGTGTGAGTTTTTTTATGTGGTGAGTTTGAAGTGAGATGTTTTTGGTTTTCTGAGCTGGTCGATTGACTGAATCTCCTTACTTTGTTCTCAGTCAGCAATTAACATAGTAGAGGAGAATTTACACGTTGATCTTTTCTTGATAGAATGATGTGTTATTCCACCCGTTGTCTGGGTCAGCGGATCAGGACAGCGACAAGTTCCAGGAAAAAATATGACCTCTATTTCCGACAGCAAAATGGCGATTGTTTTAGCATTTAGTGACAGTAGACGGTGAAATCATCACTTATCGCTTTAAAAAATCTAAAAAGCCTTCAAGGAAAGAGAATCTCTGTGTACATCTGAAGCGATGGTTGCACAATTTGTTAAGACGTGTTTTGTGCTTATGAATTTAGCTGGTGGTTTTAGTTTCCTAGTGGCTGATTCTGTGAAAAGGAGTCATTTACAAGGTAAGACAAGAGTTACACGCTCGTGGTCCTCTATTTGAACTTGATTCATGAACCAAATCACTTTCACCGGAACCCGTTGCTTCTAGCTATTAGAGAAAATATATTTGAGGAAGAGACATAAGAGCTTTTATACATGTTTCCTTAAAGATATTTTATTAGACCACGATGTATCTTTTTGTTATAAATAATTAGGAATACGTCAAAACAGTCAATATAATCAACTCAATCGTAAAATGTCGCAATTTCATGATGGCTTTTTTTTTGTCAAATCTGTTTTCAGTTGTTTGGTCGAAGTTTTGAAGAAGGAAATGAATATGATTTACTTTTGCTGTTTATCAACTCAATTTGAAAAGGATCGAGTTTATTGAAAGGTGATCGAGAGCGTAAAAGTAGAGGAAATAAGATTCATCTGGAATTTTGGTTAAATCAAAGTTATTTCAGTGTAAAAAAAAGTCGTCAGCAGAGTATGAGTCAAGATGAAGGTGGTGTCTACTCGAAACGCAAAATGCGTGCGCGACAATGCCGAAAGGTTTCCTGGGTAAAGTTACCGGTACACACGTTTATGGCCTGAAGAAGGTGTAATTGATCTACACTATCTCCCCGTCTAGTGTTGATAGACAGACAAAAAAACCTAAGATATTTTCAATGCTTCAACTCCATTCGAGATTGTCGAGTAGGCTTTCAAATTTTCATAAATTAACCTTTCTGAAAACATCTCTCTCAGATCACTTGCGCGTGCGAAGAGGATTTCGCTCATATTTTTACAACTATTTGGACGAAATTGCCATGGCAACGTGTGCAGCCATTCCTAGTAACGGACCAGGCCTGATATATGCTGTCAGACGGTAATTAACTGTGTAATGTATCATAAAAAAGTAATTTGCATTTAATTGAGAAATACAAAGTTCTGCAATTATTCTACATCGAATCGAGTTAGTATTGAGACCGAGAATGTAAGTTTACATTTGAAGCTCATTTTTGCGATCCATTTTATTCGTGAAATATTTATTGAGTTTAGAGACACAAAGAGGGTCTGGCCTCGGTCAGACTAGTCAGTAAAGGCTATTAAATCTCAAAAGCACAACGATGGTAGAGAACGGTCATTGCCTAACTCAGGAGGAAGGGGAAGGAGCGGTCCGGAGGAAAATGTACCTGATCCCTGACCTCTGTAATATTCTTATTACCCCCTTCCCCCCCCACCCTCATCGGCAATCAATTAGCGGTTAAGCTTTTATGGCCCCTCTTTTATACTCTGTTGGCAACAACTGACCATCCTCTGTTCCACCTGGAAGCTTCTGGTTTTTTCAGTGATAATGATGACGATATGATGATGGTTGTATTTAACCGGTCGATCAAGCAAATCCACTTTATTGACGGGATTAATTGATGTTGTGGTATTTTGAAGACAGATTTTTAATGATTTGACGAATTATTGCCATAGAACTATAAGAAATTTAAGCCCTGCTTCTGCAGATATGATTTGCACCGTCATTGCTGACCAAATACCATAGCTGCTACCTAAATGTGATTTAAATGTGTTCATTTAGGACCTGTGGAGAGAAACCCGACTGCAAGCACATCTGTACCGACAAAAAGTTACGAGAACAAGGACCAAAGGAAGTACATAACCTTACCTGGGATTGTACTGAGTCTTTACACGTCTACAAAAGGCAACCTGCCCTAGCGGACAATTATGATGAATATACAGATTCTCACAAACTAGGCTTGGCTGTGTTTCGCCATCATTCTTGCACTGTGGCTGATTGTGGTCCAAACTACTGCTGCTGTAGAGCTGTTGCACTATGAATTTCCCCTGACCTCATTACATTCTCTATTTGTTAACTGGAGAGATCATTTACTATGCAGCTTTTCTGAACCCCTAATTTCCTACCTGGAAAAGGACGTCGAGGAAGTGAACAGATACCAGATTAAATCCTAAAAATGACTCAGAGTTAGATAATGGCCACACCGTAATAAAATAATTTACTATCTACGACCCTCGATAATTGAATGTACTGTGCTGTTTTTAACAGCACAGAGAGTTTTCCTTAGCGCGCCACGTCAGTTACATTTAAAAGGAACTATACTTCACTTTGTGTTATATGAAGTTCCAACTGAGTCGGAATTTTTTAAAGTCGAATTTTAAGAAATGCCCCATTTTTTTCCCGTCCTTATTGTGTATCAATCTGTGTCCGGCTCATAAATTGCTACTTCCCATTACCAATCAGTAAAATTTAAGTGAGTGTCCTTCGATCCAACTGGCTGACAAATATAATTGCCATTTAATTGTAGAACACTACAGTGAAGCAGGTGATTTTTTTCAGTTCTTTATCATCGATAGCGGCGAGCGATCAGCAGTAAGACACTTACATCAATCAGAACATGTGAATGCGAGAAAAGAACGCTCATAATTCCACGTTTTGGTCTCCAAGGTATCCTTCGTGTTCTACCAAGCATCTCTATTTCGCTGCATTATGGTTGAAGAGTAAATTTCTCGTCAAGATAAAAAAAAATACTTATCATAAAAAAATCTAAATTAAAACTAAGCTGAATTATTTAGTGATATTGCTTCCACTCGGCGCGATAAGCGGTAAAGTTAAAAATTGAGCAATTTGTTCTCAATGAAACGAAAATCTTCTATCCTGGCAGTTGACACAATTTCCATGATATGCAAATAGCCGGCAACAGAAAACAATAAGTAGACACCATTATCATTTCCTCTGCGTTTTCTTTTTAATCATGATTTGACACCAAAGAAAAACACGTTCTTTTCTCGTTGGCAGAATAACCACGACGTCATTGATTCAATGATTGGGTGTCCTGGGTTTACAAGAAATGTTATTAAAGATGAAAATCCAAAGCTCTTGACAAACAACTTAAACAAACACGGCTGCCGCACTGAAAAGAGTAATTACTTGTAAATTGAATTTTTTTTGAGCAGAGATACAGTACGAATGCAAATTTGACGTTCGGTAAACACATTTTTCACTTACAGCAAAACTAAGCTATGCGAATTTGAACGCGCTAAAAATAATGTTTGAACTGGTCTGAAAACGAATACAGTGGGAAGTGGAAAAAATGGCGCCTACCAGCGAAGACGAAAATCAAAGAACTGCCTCAAAGAAACATAATGTGAAGCCATTGCTTCTTACGCAAAATAGCCTTCATGTACCGAGTCATGTTCTGTTACCCCGTGGGTCGCTTTTCGCTCATCCGTATCCCGAGTCAGTTCATCCATTTGAAACTCATGAGCAGCTAAGTCTCGCTGAGCTGCGAACTCAAACAATTGTTGGCGGGAATCATTTTTTAGACACCAGCACCTCACAGCGGTCCACAGAGTCTAATAAACAAGACCATAGAAATGTAAAGAACTCTTACGGCTCTCGCGACGAAAAAATTACGACAAGTTTTGTTCTAAGGAATCTTCCAGTTTTACCTTTCAAAGCTGCCGTGGTTTGTTTGATTCTTAACTGCATTGTACCAGGCGCTGGTAAGTAAAATATGTTTATCTACAGAATGTTTAGTTCAGTTCTGGCGGCAAAGCCATGTTTTAACTATTTTGGTATTCAATTGAAGCGAAAAATATCGTAATTAAAGCAGTTTCCGCACGTTCAAAATCATTTCCAAGACAAAAGAGTTTGAACCTTAAAATATTTCACCTTTTTTATCCAGACACATTCAAATTGTGTACAGCTACCATGGTAGTCCTCATGCCGTATGATGAGAATGTTTTTATTTTCAAGGGTGGAACTGAGGGGATATTGTAAGTTACAGAAACGACATATGATGTTTGTTACTCTAATTACATATCTCCTTTAAAACTTGTTAGCGTCTTCCTGGCAAATTTTTAGAGTCACCACAAGGGGCGGTCCGTAGACTGCGTTGCAAATTTTTTTTGTCGTAAGAATTCTGAATAATAATTTCAGGACTAAATATTAAGAATCTAAAGTGCGTTTGCGAGAAGGAGTCACCCAGACGATCACACACTTCATTTCATGTTTGTGTTTAGGTTTTGAAATGGCTGAAATGATCAAAACTGGCATATGTGGTTTATATCGTTTCTCGCGCGACAAACGTAAATAAAGAAATTTGAAGGACGGAGAGACATACATAGCGAGCTACTCGGGATATTTCAAACCACTCGGACCAATATCTAATAATGAAACTGTACAAGCGATTTTTTTTTGGTTACATAATGAACTCCGTAGACTTATCTTCCTCAAATGAAAACTGATCGACCGTTAAGAGATTCGACAAAGGAAGATCTCAGTAGTACTCCAAAACTAAAGGCATCTTCATAAAACCTATTTTATTTATGTGACAGATGACCTGTTTAAGATCAGCAAAATGTCTCCTGTACCGTCTTTAAACAGTTACACCCTAATTGTGGAATTACTCTTCTGTTTAGTGTTCTTAGATCGAAACGTGTTTTGTACAGCGGTAACTCCTCATAGAATATATGGCATAGCATGTTTCAGGAGTAGTCCCCGACTCCACTCCCGCAAGTGTAATGTATTCCTGACGAAAGAGTCTTACACGTTTAATTGATTTTACAATTCAAATTAAACCTTTCGTTGTCTTCCCTTATCCATGATGCGATTTTCATAGCACAGTGAAAACTTATCAGATCTGTTTATATCACTTTCCGGCGCAGAATACATTCTACAAATCTTGATATATTTTCTTTGCATAAATTTCCGGCGTTTTACAATTTTAATCTACCCAGATGTAGACATTAGAATATCGGCATCACTTTAAAACGAAACATTTTTCCTTCTATGAATTTTTTTCTGGTTGAAAATTAATTTTAGTTTTTCGTAAGCACTTTTGATTATCAGTTATTGGTAATTTCATCGGTAATTTCATTGCTACTTGTTATTATTGATTCAGAAACCTGTAAACTCTGAAGAAAGGCTTTCAGCAAACAGCTCTTTTACACCTCACAACAATATCACAAGCTATGTTCCCGAAATCAGTATTTCTGAATTAGTTGAGAAATTAGAATTGGGATATACAAAAATGTTCCCCGAATGTTAAGAATATATCCGAAGTCATTTGCAAGCGTGTAAATGAACCAAAAATACACAAGTCTGTATTGTGGATGACAACATTAATTCTCGAGCGGTTTATTTATTTCCTTTTCAATGCAAATGTACTGAATTGTTCTTAACCGCTAATCTCCTTATTTTATAGAATTGAAAAGAATATCTGCTATGTTCCAAGTCTCTCTTAAGATGGATATAAAACTCGAAGACATATTTTCAATAGGTTGCAAGCAAAATTGGATCCAATACAAACAACATGAAACATGTGCAAACAGGCTGGAAACTGAGATACCTGTTTTATTTTGCACTTCAAAAAATTTGTGTTTCGCTCTCGCTACAGCTAGCAATGCATTAACGAACAAAAGATCCAATACAAAAGTGTTTAACGCAATATTGTACCTCATTGCCGATAAGAACACGACGCTCTGTTTTATTGCGCGTGATTAGAGCTGAAAACCTTTAAAGCATCGATCAGACATATGGTAGTCATATATAAATGCCTTCAGGGCTTTGACGAGCTAAGGACAATTAGGCGTTGATAGATGTGGAATGTAAATTGATCTTCAGGTTGAGTCTATTGTGATGTCAAAGTTTTAATCCATAACAACATCTCGCAGCTTTCTGCTTTCGCTCAGTTCTCTCTCGAGTTCAGTAACGAATCGCTAGAAGCTGACAGAGAATCTTGGGAAATTCATAACTTCAAAATTTATGTATCTGCGGTGAAACATAATGGAGGAGAAATCCATTGCTGAGGAATAATCGTTGATTACCTGAAGATGTCTCTTGCCCACAAACAGCGCGGGAGCAGTTCAACACAATTTTTAGTCACTGACGGGGACAACGAAAGTCAGGGCCGAAATACTAAGGAAAATTTGCCAGCTTTGGGATTAAATGCACCAGTTCTTACTGGTGAGAATAATTCTCAAGCTGCGGGCGACTTGAGTGCGGGTCTACCTCAAGTGAAACCCTTAGAAAATGGCAACTATCAACGAAGTTTCAGTCTTGAAAGTTCTCGCGTTACACCACGTTCGGCAAGAGTGTCGAGTTCATCTTCCGCAACAGCTGGCTTGTACACTCCATTTCCTGGATTTCAAATTCCTAATGAAACAATAATCCCAAAGGAAGACCCGGCAACAGTAGTGAAGCGAAAACAGACAATCTCAGCGAAGGATGCCATTCCAGTATTACCGCGTCCCGTCGCCATTGTTTGTCTCATTTTTAACATTCTCATCCCCGGATCAGGTAAGATCAGCTCCATAGTTTTGGACTGATTAAACATTTATTCACGGCTGGGTTTTGAAGCAAGAAACTTCTGATGGTATTTCGCTTTATAATTAACATTTTCCAATAGTTTGACCATTAAGATGTATTTTCAACTATCAGACGATCGAGAATTTATTCTTTCCATTTAATCTTACACTCTTTTAAGCTGACGCAATTATGTTTTTAAAGGAAGTCTTAGCCACAAGACTTAAGCCACAAGGATATCACACGGTCTTTCAAACAGAAAATAGAAAGCGAAGTCTTTTCCCGAGTCATTTTCATGATACATCAAAAAGTTATTATTCTCTCACTTCGGCCCTCGCTATGATGTATATGATGCTATAATATGTTTGTGAGGAGCCCAGCTCGACGAAGTCTTCGAATTGCGTGCAAAGTAGGAAAACATAAAAAGAGAAGCAAAAAAAAAATCTGGGAATAGATTTAGTTAAACGGAAATTTCCCAAAAGCATTTTAATTTTCATAACTTAAAACATAGCAAATAGCAAAAGTATACAAAAAAAGAGAAAAACGGAAGAGAAACCAATTATTGGAAAAATGTTTATTACCATAACAGTTTTTTTTATCACACATTACTCTGTAGAATTCGTTATTTGCCCATTAACTCATCGTTATCAACATGCGATTTGTGTATCTTATCTCGAGAATCATTTTTCCGAGCAGCCTGTTAAGATTAAGATTGGAAAAATCGTTTCCGTTGAATACTAGATACAACAAAGACCAACCGTAGAAACGCTTCCTCAAACTGTTCTTCTATTTCTTGCCTATTATCAATTACAAAATGCTCAAACATTTATGCGTAAAAATACTGTCCGTGATGAATTTCGTGATTATTTTACAATTCATTTGTACTAATCCTCTAGTGCTAATCCGAAAGGCCTGATTACTTATTGTCTTTGACGAAGAGATAATTGAAGAAAACAAATTTCTTTTTACCGTGGGCTGTCATTTGCAGAGTTTCTCGCCTTCTTGTCACTTCATATTGGATGGCCAGAGGGCGCGTGCGATTATGAACTCACCACGAAGAAATAATCACTATAGTGTGGTAATGTCAGAACAAAGAGACGATGTGGCAGAGTTAATCAAAGTGGAATCGATAAAGTCGGGCATTTGATTTAAGGAACAAGACAACAAAATTGTCAGCAAAGTAACGAATCATTAGTGTTTTCAAGCTCGGTTAACAACACTACTCTGAACAAAATAGTTTGACAGATACTATTAGTCCTATCAACATTGCGATTCTTAGGAAAACTATGACACAGTAAACCGATGGATGTGTTAAATGTCAACTATAGCATATTAACGCATTTCTACAATCATTTCTGTTCAAACTCTTTTCTTCTCATCCGTCTCCCCTGAATAAAAAAAAACTTCAGGATGTAACATTAATTTTTTGGCAGTATCGCCTCCTTTTTCCAACCATTTCCTTTCCCATTATGAGTAACATTGGAGGAAACATTTCAATCCAGTTGTTATGGGACCTCATCTTTAAATTTTTTCAATTTGGTCTGTCTTCCTTTTACTACGTGTTTCGGTAAAATCTTAGCTTGATAGAATTCGTGCGACACGCGGTTTTACCGCCGGTAAATGAAATGCGTGGGAAAGTATACTTTACCTAGCTTGTATTATATTGAAAATGAATACTCACTAATCATAAGTCTGTTGTTAACTGTAATTTGTGTGAACAGTCAGTAAGAAGCTAGAGCAGGGAAAGGACAATAGACAGTCTGGTATAGTATCGCTTAGAATTACATTTCCAACGAAAACAGGGGCGGTCATTTCTCCGAACAACCACTCGTTAAAAGTGCTTTGTTGATAAAGGTCACTTAAAAAATGATGCTTAGTATACGATGTGGTGTTAAATTCAAGAAGCCTCGAAAAAATATTTTGCCAGGGTAGACAAACTCTGATCCACAAATATGGAAACAACTGACACAAACTGCAAACAAAAACTTTGAGATTTGAGAAGTGAGTGGCTGTTTTCTCAAAGACTGAATGATAGTATAAGCATTGGATCAATGATGGAATGTTCTGACTTGACTGTGCATTTTCTGTACAGGGACAGTCATATCTGGCCTGATCGCCTTCTTCCTGACACGGAAGAACATACCGCTGATCAGCCGCACTTCCATTCTGTTCGTCAATTGTTTTGTAGGCTTCATGCAGCTGGCAACAATTGTCTTCCTCATGATTGGCTGGTTCTGGAGTATAGCCTGGGGCTGTGCATTCGTAGGATTTTCTGGTAGGTGTATAACATACTTTTAGATCGTGATTCACGTAATAGGTTGCAGTAGATGAGCCCATGTTTGATTTGTTTAGAAGCCAGACAAGAGAACTGACTCTAGTCAATAAATTAGTCTGCCTTGGAAACTATCATGATTCTCTGACAACTTATCTTGTCTTTTTGGACCTTTGTTTTTACAAGGTCAAAACAGCAAAGATTACAGTTTCTGTTTAGAGATTTTGCTGCGTATGCCCTCCCAAATGACTAATATTATGTTTATTGTATCGCAAAGTCTCTTTCGTAACGTCTCACAGTACTTTCCTCGCGTTGGGAGGAGAAAGAATCGCGTGACGAGATCGGACTATGATTGTGGTGAAGGATGTAATTTGAACACTGCTCTTCTAGTTCTCTAAGAAGATATTTAAAAGGTAGAGCTTACTCTAATTTTACCAAATTGAATACGTTTTAGTAAATTTATCATCGTAATTTGCAGAGCGTTACGGTAAAGATCTTGAAAAGGTGGAAGGAAGGGAAGTTGTCCCCGCGTAACTCCCGACCTCACAGTTTACCTTACCCGTTTAGAGGTGGGCTGACTGTGCCAAACGGATAGATGTTGAGACTCAGGTGAACACGTCTCGTGGGCCCTACGGAGATCTACGGTAGCGAACATTTCACTGAAGCAGTTGGAACTAAACCGACTAATGCGCCTTTCCTGAGACTTCGCCGAAAAGGGGGAACCTTACTTGAGGTCTTGAAGTTATTCACTCACATGGCAAACGAAGAAGTTACGTTTTCACCGAGGCTGGTACATCCAACACGAAATTCTACCATAAAAATAACTCTATTTTGTTTGCAGGCATGCAGGGTGATTTTACACTTCTTTCTACTACGGAACGAACTTTTTTTTGTTTCAGCAAACATATTCCACAATAGGACGCTGTAATATTAGATGTATGTTGATAGACTTTTTCTTTCCTGCGTTGGGTTGTGCTTTATCACTCTCATCCTGTGTCTTGAGATAGACAAGAAGAGTTATGGGTTGGGAGGTTTGGTAATTTTACTGAAAGCTGCGTCACAATCCGGATGCTGGGGGACGAAACTTTAAGATACATAGAACAACAAATTGTTTATCACTCGCATTTATAACAGATATTTCTAGAAACTTGCAGACTAGTTACGTTAAAGTTACATTAGAATACATACAGAATACTAAATTCTCATAACCTGCTAGAAAATTATTAATTGTAATCGGACAGAACAATTTTTTTTCACGGCTTTTAAATAAATACATCCACAAATCCACACATCCCCCTGGTGTTTCATTTGTATAAGAGGTTTTTTTTTAATCAGCTGGGCCATTTCATTATTTCATGATTAATATCACCTTCAGTTACCAGAAATGTACTAGTTTAAAAGCTTCTTCTTTGCAAAATTATTACAAATAATACAATGTAAGAATATCTGAAGTAACTTGTGTCATATTGTGCGGTCAGCGTAGTGTTCATCAGGCAAAGCGTGGAATCCTATCAACAACGTTACTTGACAGAAACTTCTTGCTCTGTTTGTTTCTTTTTACCATTGAAATACCTGTAAAATTTCAACACTCATATTTTGCGTATTCGTTTACAATACAATTAAACAGCACATCAATAATAAAACAGTTAATGGGAACAAAATTGCATTCACAAACACAATACAAGATGGTTTTCGTAAGCCTCTTCATATCTCTAAAACAGAGATACCATGGCATCTCTGGATTTCCCAACTCCAACCCATTGAACTACAAAAAAGAAACGCACAATGTTAGCATACAGCCTTAACATGCCTTCTACCATGGACTTAAAAAATTCATTATTTTCAGCTTAGAACCTTGCACCTGTGTGTACAGGAATAAAATTCTAGATCACTTTGACACCAATTTTATATGAATCCACCCCATGATAGCCAGCATTATGAGGATGTTCCTTTCTGGTTTAAAAACCTTACCCTATCAGTGCTCCTACTTAAAGTCAAGAAATTCCTAGGTATATTTTGCAAATCACGGCTATATTTATTCACATTTCACTCAGTCTATAAATCTCACCTGGAATTTGTGTAATTTGTTCAATTTTCCTAATATACGCTTGTGCATTAGCTGGTAACGCATCAAATGTTCTACATTGTTCAATACTGGTCATCCAACCAGGTAGGGTAATGTACTCCACTTCAACTTCATCCAAGACTTCCACACAAGCTGTAACGAACATCAAAGTAAACAAAAACATCTGCCATAAGTACATTCCGTAACACATGTCAAAGTGAAACTTTGTTGTCCTATTCCAATTAATAACTGATGGACATAAGGCAACAAAACCAACAATCATACCAGGGAAAGATTTCATGAATTGTCCTCTGTACTTGTATGCAATCCCAATTTTCACCTCCTCAAAAGTGTCCAAAACATCAAGCTTGGCAATCACAAGACTGTGAAATATGAACAGCATTAACCATCAAATACAGAAATTCAAGCATAATATATATATTTTTTCATTTGTAAATGATTGCAAATGAAAAACATGCCCAAAACATTTCTTCTTAATCTATCTCAATAACCAAACCTATGCTCTGAGCTCACTTTTACTGATCCATAATTAGTAATACAATCCCATTAAACGAAAGTCATATTAAAAATTGTAATTTACCAACACAGTTCAAACCAATAGCTATCAAATCTAAATCTTCATTTTCAAAGTATATTTTAGAAAAATTATTTCCTGTAACTAATTAAAAAAAATGACTTGTTTGATTTTTAACAAACATCAAAACAAAAACAGGAAAAAAAGGGGAGGTAAAGTGGCTGCTATGGTAAATCACTATAAATAATCATGAGTTGAACATTGATATGTACCTTGTAAAATTGTTGATCATGTGTGAATATTTGATCATTACAAGATCAAGCCATCCACAGCGACGCTTTCTGCCTGTTGTTACACCAAATTCCCTTCCTATCTGCTGCATCTTCTCTCCAAGTTCCTGAAAATGCAATTGGGGAGATAAGCAAAATATTCTATGTTTGAATAGATGGTCAGCATTCACAAGAGTAGTCTTCAAAACCCTAATTCTTTTGGTAGAAGTACAGCACTGCAAGTTTGCATCTGACATCTATCAGCATGGGATTAACTCTGAGATCATGATAAAGTTATAACCTTATGGAAAAATTGCCTTTTTTTATCAAACTCAAGACACTTTAAGTCATTTTCGTGTATAGTTTCCTTTTTAGTTTCTTTACTTATCTTGCAATTATATTATATTATATTAGTTTCTATTTTTATATTGTATTATACTAGTTTTTATATTGTAATTATTTCTGAGGTACAAGTTTATTAGCTATGCTATTATGTGTTACCCTCGTAAAATAAAGTCTTTATTATTATTATTATTATTACACTATGTACAACTGTTGTTCAGACTAATCTAGGTAGGTCAGTCAAGTATTATGATATTGCAAATATCTGATAGATGATATAAAGAACCAGGAATAAGGAGCAAAGAGAGCAAGAGTTGAGAGAGGTGACAGTAACACGTTCTAGATAACCTTGACAATTACATCCCCATAATTCGATAGAAATTCACAGCTGTTTCTTTAGCCAGCTTCTGTTTTATTGTCTTGTTGAAAAAAGAGGAAAACACTACAAAAGTAGTAATGGATACCATGTTCACTCAATCTATAATAAATACATGATGTAACAGTCTCTAAATGCAAAATGAAGAGATCATTAGTTGTTAAGTAAAAAGAAACAAGTTACATTTTTAAGCTCTGTTGGGAATCCTCCAAGACCAACCCTTGTTGTGTAAGCTTTGGTAACTCCATGCACATTGCCGATTGCTGCTGGTGGAATGCCAAGACCTGTGCAAACTGCACCCACAGCACAGTTAGAAGATGTAACAAATGGATATGTACCTGGAAAAAAATATTCAAACATTCTTTGAAATTAAAGACGTTCTTTTGCAATTTGCTTACAAAGTGTTCTGTTTGTGCCACCTAAGCTCCAGCTGTGAGATGATCATCTTACAGAATAAGAGTTGTAGCAAAATTGTGAGAGTTTGTATGGGAATATTTATGACCACTCATAGTAATAAAAAATAGTCAATTCTCAATAAAAATACCTCTATTTTGCAAGATGATGATCTCACAGCTGGAGCTTGGGCTGCCTGTGGTTTGTATAGACTTGATACACAACAGTGTTGTGTTTATAGCAAATTGGTATCCCAAGGGTAGAAGCCCTTTATATAAATTTTAAACCTTAAACCAAACAAACTAAACCCATTTCATATCAGCCTGGAGAAATTTGACATGGACTATCAATAATGATAAATTTGTTCCATAAGTTACAATGTACTCCTGCCATTGGTCGTAGGTCTAGTTCCTAAGGTTTGTATGGAAAGGGGAATAAAATACATTGTTTAGCTCATGCCAGTTCACAATGAATAGAGCTATTTGAATTGGGAGAGGTTTTGCTATGATACTTACATATTTCACAACAAACTAATCTTCAGATAATTCAACGCGGTAAGGGTCTTCAAGTGGTAATTATAGTACAAAAAGGAAGTTTTCTTTATCTATCTTATACCCAAAGGTTAATCACATTAGATAATGTCTGGACCATATCTGGGCGTGTAAATACAGTTACAGCAGAAATTCAGCTGAAATGAGATGGAGTGTTATGAACAAAATACAGAGAGATGACAGACAAATGGAGAGATTGAACAAAATAACTCAAAATGTGGTTTTGTATTTCAAGATGTAATCTTTGTATGAATTATTTGGTACTATTGACTCAATTCAACAAGGTTAACAACTCAAAAATTAAATCAAAATGCGTATTTCAAAGCAACACTTGTGCTAAAAATTACCAAAGTCAATATCCAGCATGAGTGCATTGGCTCCCTCCACAACAATTTTGGCTGATTCATTCTGAAGTGCGTTGTTCATGTAGCTTACTGTGTCACACACCAAAGGACGGATCTTTTCTGCATAGTGCTACAATTAAACCAAAAGAAAAAAATTTATAAAATTATGAATACTATTTATCCTTAACATAAGTAAACTAATTATTTTGTTTGTTAAAAGTGACAAATAGTTACACAAACATATCCAGGGTTACTAAAGTATGAGAACATAAACGGGAAAATTTCTTTAACATCGTTACCTTGTACTTTGTTATCTCTTCCTCAATGTTTGTACTAAGACCTGGATATCTGAGAAAAAGTGAAATGCACAGTCTGAAGTTTAAACTTAGAATTAGTAATCACATGTACTCCACAAGATGGTTAATTTAAAGCTGGCCAGGTAGAGTTAGCACAACATTCTATTTAGGTTAAGTAAGTAAAGAAAACATTTACAAAAATAAACTTTCAATTTAAAGATAAGCAGTGAGTAAAAACAATTGTCTCTTTCAATACTTACAGCCTCTGAAAATGTGACACCAGTCCTCTGAATCTATTACAACAAAGAATTAACATAGTATCATAATCAATTTGCATGGCTAACACTGATCAAAGCATTCTTTACCACAGGGCAGCTGCTTACCTTCTCTCAAAAGCCTCAAAGTCTCCAACTAAGTCACATATTCTGAGGCCTATCCTTTGTGCCTGTACATGTAAAGGCAACAAAATGAACTCTGAGCTAAGTGTATGAAATGAAGATGTAATAAAATGGAGTATGTCAACACATAAACCATAAGACAGGGACAGCTCCAATATGCAGTCACCTCTAGTAATTAAACAGGTGTTTACAACTACCCTATGGCACTCATCAAGATGCCAAAAGTGCAGTGTTTGTACATGAGTTTTAAAAAGCAAACCTTTGAGAAGACAGCCACAATCAGAACTGTGCACTTATGTACACAGCTGTGCACTTGTTATGTGAGCATCTAATGATGAAGTTTTATTCTACAATGACTGAAAGATTTCTACTTCCAAACCATGCGAGTAACAGTACCTTTGAGGCATATGTTGGACCAATTCCCTTCTTTGTGGTCCCCAACCTAACAAAAGACAAAAGTTTACAGCTTTACTCACTGGAGGTAATAGACATTACACCAGAAGGTGTGAATAAATGTACTCTGTATCAGTTAAAATATCATTCAGTCAGTTATATTTACATCAGATGGGATCATTCTATTGCAAATAATATACTTTTGATAGTTACAGACATACTGAATCACCTCAGGCAGTCTTTTATCATACTCACCCTCCCTTTCCACCTTCACGTAATTTGTCAGATTCTTGGTGCAAGTCAAATACTAAAAGGGAAAAACATCATTCAAATATCCGTTAGCATCACCACCAGGTATAATTGAATTACCAATGGATAAAATTACACTGCCATGTTGTTCATACAACCATTTCAACAATCAATTTAAAAAAGATCTGTTATATTACCATTTTAAATGTTAAACATGTTTCTCACCTATATGAGCTCTGTCAGAGACAAGAAGTCTTTTCTCCCAATCAGTAACCCCTGCAAAGCCAGGAAACAAATATAATTTATTTTGATTGATTTCTTAAAACTGCAAATTGAAAGCAATATGCTATTGACAATATAAATTATATGATCACTGTCTTGTCTTTGTAGATAAACTGAACATAACAGTAATTTAATGAAAATAAGCCCTAAAGCAGTACATAGAGTATGTAATATAAAGGCCTCTATAATTAAGTGCAGTTTCCTGCAACCAATACTTAAGTACCATAATAATACTAATACTAATACTACTACTAATAATAAAATAGTTTATTGTAATAACATGAGGTAAAGAAAGTGGAAGAGAAGGGATCACCTTTAGCTTCAAGTTCTTTCAACTCTTCAAAGAACTGTGGAATGTGCATAACAACACCATTTCCTAACAGAAAAAGAGAAGTAAAAATACTTGCAAAAACCACATGCATGCACCAAATAAAATTTATTGACAAGGATCTGTATATAATGATCGTATAATTCTGAAAAAGACAAAATTGCTCACCAATAATGCTAACAGCTTTTGGTTGAATCAACCCACTGAAACCACAAAAAGGGTATAATTTATTTTATGGTTATCAAACAATGACGAAATGTAGAAAAGAGCTTTTTGTCATACTTTAGAGTTCTTACCTTGGAACCATATGAAAAAAATATTCTTTTGAGTCAACCACAACTGTATGACCAGCATTGTTTCCACCCTTAAATAGACAGCACAGGTAAATTACATGTTTCTCTGATGACTTTTTATAAGGTGCAGAGAGATCAATGGTTTGGGTTCTGGACTCCCAGATATTACCAGCCATTCTTTTTTCTTAGTCAATATGACCTCAGATTGTCATCAATTCTGTTGCCTTACAATATAATAGCAGTTATTGAGAGAATTTTAAACTAAAAGTTCACCCTTGGGTAAGTAATGATTATAGTTTACAATCATTTACTGAGTAACTGGCAAAAAAACACATTGCAGCCAAGCCCATCCTTCAGCATTTGACCTCAATTCAAGGCAAGTTTATGCCATGAGCTGACCTTCCACTCAGAGTCAATAAATTGTTCCATTTCTTATGTTTGAACATGAACAATACTTGTGTATTGGAAGGATATCTGTCATCACCTTCCTAGTAATGGAACTTCTCCATGGGAAAAGGTAGAGACAAATTCATGAGAATACCAAAGAGTGTCCCATTTTGATCTGATCTCGTAAAAAATTCAGTTTGATCATGCCCACCGACTCCGCTCCAAGCCAAGCCAAGCCAACCAGAGCCAACCAGAAAAAAGGTGCTGTGGCCACTGTACAAAGCTCAGGTCAGGGCAAAGTAAATATCTCGAGGGACCCTAACTTACAAATTCATAAGGTCTGTTTGATAAATATTTTGCTCTACTTCAAGATACTAGCAAGGTAAGCAACAGACCAACACAATTGAAATCCACATTCATCCTGTTATGACAAACAAACAATAAGCAAACAATAAACCATGACCGACTCGCATGCAAATTAATCATGTATACGTAGAGCAAGTTATGTCCTCGTTAACCTTAATTGACATCTAAGGCGATCATTCTAACATATATGTAATACACAGTTTTGAAACTTCCCTTCTATTTATGGACACATTTATCATGGAAACACAGATCTTACCTGACACCGGCAAACAAGATCGGCATCTGTAGCTAAGATGTCAACCAACTTTCCTTTTCCTTCATCGCCCCACTGTGCGCCCAAAACAACTGTCACTTTGGCTTTAGGGCCCACAGCTTTTTTTACCGATGTCCCTAGTCCATTAGTAATGGATGACATCGTAAAAGAATTGAAAAAATCCCAAAACTAAATTTCAAAGTAACTTCTATTGTTGTTTCTGATCATCCCTTTCCGCGCCAAACGTGCCCGGGTCAGCTTGGTAACCAGGTCCTGAAAGTGTTTCATCCGGCCTGGGGCAAGCCTGGGGCACGACTGGAGAAGATACCTCCCTAAAGGAAAAATGCTTCTAAAGTTTTAAATCTAATAGACTATTAGTACCACCGATATTATCTAAAAAGAAAACAACTTAAAATCCCGTATCTGGCCAGCTAGACCTGTAAATGTAATGATCCCAACCCTAGAAAAAGAGACAGGCAGAAGTTGTGGTTGTTCAGGTTTAGTTTACGAAATGAAATCCTCATGAATTCTGGCCTACCAACTCCTTAACTACAACAGAATTCGATAGTTTTGACAGTTTTCTGAAACATTCCCTTATTTTGCCTGATCTGTCCCATTTTTGGTGCGTGCACTCCATGCTCATGTCTAAAGAGTAAGGGTTAACACAGGTTAAGGGGGTTGTGTGCAAACAGTACCTTGTCTACCTTGTTTTTACTACTTTTTTGCACTTTGAAAACAAAACCAAAAAATACAAAAGGTGCAAACCTTAAATCTTGCAAAAGGCACAATCATGAAATTTCTTTCTTACTTTGATCAGTTTTCTTTTGCAAAAAAGAAAATTCAGCTTTATTGGAGCACATGTGCCTAACTAACCATACAATTGGGTGTGATAAATCTAAAATTATCACCACTAATCAGTGTTACCACCAGTGGCTTTGTTTGGAAGCTTGGCATATTAACTCCACCCATGCTCCTTTAAATCATAATGATGGTGACTTACTTCCTGACACCTATTTACACCTTGTCAGAAAAAAAGGCAGCTAATTGGTGATTGTATAAAAGGACCTCTTGTTGCAGTGTTTGGATCACCACTGATGAAGATACTAGACAGGAGTGTCAAAAAATTGGGTCTATGAATTGTAACTTCTTCAGTTAAATTCATTAAACCAGAGTAGCATCAAACCATGTCTGATTGTCCACCTGGTTGCCATGTGAACTTTAACATATAAAGCTGTCAATTTGCCACCCTACAGATTTCACAAAGGTGATATTTTTATGGCTTAGGCATTTGAACATTCTGTTAATGCATGGTAAATAATTACATCATAACATTGCACCAGTAACAGGCAAATAGTTTTATGACCAGAGGAGCACAAGAGTTTGAAACTGTTTAATTAAGTGGTAAGAGAAGATATATGGTCAGGTTAATACATGAGAAGGATCCAGAAATACCATCCTTGGATAAATAAAGTTTAAATTGATGCAAACTAACCCACATAGTTTTTATTAACTCTCACTTTGCTTTTTAAGTTATCACCACATCAATTAAAAGTGATCTCTTTGGCTAAAGTTAACATATTCTATAACAAATTTTTGTTGCCTTTGCAAAAAACAAGTACAAATCAACCTGGTTTATTGGATTTTATATAAAGGTTTTCTAAGAGCAAATGCTTTTTCATCTCTTCCTCTTAAGCTCAATTGCAATTGATTTGTAAATATATCATACTATTTAAAAGTTGACTCTAACTATTTAGCTGCAGCATGTAGAATGAGTGACACATTGGAACCTAGTAATAGCCTGGTGGTAGAGTATTGGAGTGGGAAAGCTGTAGGTCTGAGGTTTGATTTCTCATGGGGACTCAGAATTTTGCTTTAGTCCCACACTCATGATACATTGAAAACATTTTCCCACTTACATTTTATGATACTGTAAATCAGTGTTTATTGCAAGCATCACTGCGAGCACTTGCCATAAGTCAAAATTGAAGAAGCATTCTTGTATGAGTTTCCTTTTAAACTTATATCTACTCCATCAGGTTGAGGAATACACACTTTTAGAATCAACTTATTAAGCAGAAACATTCTGATCAACAACACAAACAAACTAAAGTTATGAATGGACCAGTCTACCTGAGAAGATTTAATGTAGGATCCCTCATACTTTCCACTCATCATAATCATATTAGAGACATCTAAATGCAACAATTTCTTCTCCTCAATAAACATTTAAGAGAATCAGTTAAGTGCATGGGGAATGAGATGGATGACATGGGGGTAGAGGAGGGGAGATATGACAGAATAATATGATGGGTGGTCACAAAATCTGATGAAGGTCTAAGCAGCTGTGTCCCTGCTGCCCATGTCATTGTTTGTAGCTGCTTTTCTCACCAAAGGTTTACTCAGGATGTCGTAAAAATAATCCTCAGAGTTCATTGGATCCCAGATGCCTGGTGAAGTCTCATCTGCTTGGAACCTAACAATGTAAAGAAACAAACAAGTCTTTTTCTTTTTCTTGCTAGTTCACTCCCCCTCCCAAAAAAAAAACATCACATGTCAAAAATTCCTCTTATCTACCCTCTTCTGTCAAAAGAGTCAAGTATAAGAAATTAGAATTACTGTAAGCCTAATGTGTGCTATTTCTTTGGTTCTTAATTATCAAAATTGTACAGCCATTTAAAACATTTCCACCCATGCAAACTAATCAAACAATGAAATATCCCTGCAGTAATGTAAGGTGTTGACATGGCTGCGGCGATAAAAGGTTCTCTTTACAATTGTATCAAATGCATATACCAATACAAGGTATACTTCATTACTTAATTAAAGTTCCTTAATCCAAATGAAAAGAACACTCATTAGAGATCATTTTCTTTTTTTTTTCACATAACTTAGATGAGATTTCTATCAACCTACTTCATAATCTTGATGAAAAAATTTTGAGCTCTCTCATTCTCTAGAATTAAAAAAACAACAAGTCAGTAACTACTGAGTCTTAAATGGTTCTGTGTATTCACTTTGATTATCTTAAAATGTCCATTAGATACATGTATTGAGTGAAGTCTTACACTTTCCATAGTTTTTATGCATTTCTCTGAATCTGTCCATGCATAACATAAAGGTTCAAACAAATCACATGATTAACAGGTTTCAAAAGCCAGGAAAGAGGGGCAAAAGAGTAAAACAAAATACATAAGTTGAGATATTTATTGCCAAGCTGAGTCTGGGGGAATTATGAACACTCTTCACAGGAAAATATTAGTATACCTTAATCACTTTGATTAATATTAATGAAAAGAGCCAAATGATTTTCACTACAGATCTTCCACAGTACACCAATAATAACTTTATTGTTTCAGTCATAATGGAAATAAGTTTCATGAAATAAGAATTAATATTTCCTGTATACACACCCTTAAACACTGTTAACATGATTTTCTTCATCTGGGCTCTAAAATAATAAAATGTTTGGAAAATTAAACCAGGCTATGCACATGTAATATATGATATACCCGCCTAACATCCTTGATAGTTAATAAAAATTGTTCATGCCAACAATGGTGCGATGAATTACTTATAATAACAAATTAATACACCTAAAACCAACCTGTGGGCAATCATCTCTAAAATCAGCATTAGGAACTTTCCAAGTCCTTTGCCACGGGCCTCAGATTCCACTTGGATCTCATAGCTGAGAAACAAAGAAGAACTAAGTTGTCAGTACTTACATCAACACATACTTCAAATATTTTATAACATAAATACATAAAAAAAATTAATTTCCATGAAATATTGCAGCCCTAATTACCAACTTTATGTTGGCAATTATCTGGATGAGCCAGACCTGTTGCCACACAATGTAATCACTTTTGGTGGATCAAAACATTTTGCTTGTATACTGCTAGCCATTTTTAAACCAATAAGTTTGACTAGATATGTGGCCCCTTTTGAGCCATTATGTTCAGCTGCGATTGGCTTGTATTCAAAAACTGTGATCATGCATTTCCAAGATATGTTAATGATCTGGATGATGATGATGATGATGATGATGTATATTTGGTCAAAATTATTGCATCAAGAAGAATGACAGAATGCAGTCAAATATTGTAATCTATAATGCAAGTGACCACATTACAAGACAAAGGACAAATGATACTGCATATCCACAAAAATGAATAATTGACTTGTTTTCAAATTCATGTTTTTAAGGGCATTCTTCATCAATTATATCAAAGTTAAACTTACCAGTAAAGCACTTCGTCTCCCTCCTCCAAGTCAAACCTAAAATGTGAGAATGCCACAGCTTTTCCAGATTCTTCTCTGGCAATCAAATATCTAGAGACCAAAAGAACACTCAGCCAAAACCATGGGTAGCTGTATCTATCAAATACATGGCTAAGGATGAACAACACTCAAGGGCTTTGTCTATAGTTACCGAGCTTTATCTTCTGTCATTTCATCTCTCTTCCTTTTGTCATTCCATCCCCAGCTGCTATTCTCATAACTGTAGTTTTCAGAAGAATCAAAATGATTACAAGATCTATGAAAGATAACAATTTTCAAGCAATAGACCCACATTAATGAATAACCTGAGTTTCAAAATTTGTAAAAACACTTACAGTAACTGCATGTTGTGTTTTGTGAGGTCAAATGCCCAGTTGATATCCTCAGTAGACATGTCTTGTAGTCGCTTGCACTCAAGGCAGAGATCCAACCTAACAAAATGTATAAGAAAGTTAAAACACTTTTTCAATATTGGTTTTTTCCCCCTCTAAAAGTGTGGGATGTCACTCAAAGCATATTAAACTTGTCAACAATACAAGAACATAGGGTGGTGTTTGGTGTTGAAGGAGAGAAAACTGTATCAAGGTTCAGCAGGAGACTATGAAAACCACATGAAAGGCATCCAGCCAGCCAGGATTGTTGGACTGCAAACCAAAAGAAGACTACACCTTCTTATCCCACACTCACCAGAGGGTTGGAAGGTAAGTGGAATAGCAACAAACCAGCATGCCCATCAAGAAAAAAACACATTGACAAAAAATGACTTGAGGTGTGTAGGGAAGCTATAAAACCCAACAGTCCCTGTCATATCATAAGATTTTCCTAGCTGTGCCTATAACATGACACCTCACTGTCTTGATTCTTACCCAGACTTACATTTAGCCATGTCTAATTTTCAATGCAATGCAAATCAATATTTTCTGAGCCCTTGTCTTCCCCTATATTTAATGAAGTTTAAATGTTCC